TATATATATAAAGTTATAGTTATTAATAAAATAAAGTTATATAAATTATATAAAACTTATGCAATCTGCACCAACGAAATGAAAGTACAAAGACTGCCACAGCAAAGAGAAAACTTATTGACATTAACTTTTTAGATCGCTTTAGTACAATTTGTGTGCGATTAATAGAAATGCACAATATGTTACTTTTTTTAAAAGCAATAATACATTTATGCAGTCATAAACATGTTTTGATAGTTAATATGACGGTGATTTGATGCTTCATAAAAGTTGCAGACGCCTTTATGATATCAAAATGCTTTTGTTAACATCCAGTTATTCTTTACACCGATTAATAAAACGGCTACTATAATACTACTATGGCTGCTATAATATGGAAAATCTGCTCTAAATGTAAAACTAAATAAATTGCTCTTGACACATGAAAGGGCCGAGCATGCAGACCACAACAAGGTATAAAGTTATTGTGTATTATGTTTAACAAACCGTTTAACCCTCTCAAGGCAGGCATTGCTGATTTGCAACAGTTAAAAGCATAGATTTTGCCTGTTTCTAAAATTTAATTTGAGCCTGAAAGGGTCAATGCGTATTTTATGTAATTTTGCTCACATGGATAATTGAATATTAATCAGATGATGTCATTACGCTGCTGTACCGTCAGGCAATCATTGCATTGCTGATTATGATTTCGAGGATCGATAGATCAGTTCATTCAGACATTTTAACCTGACTCACAAACTTGTTTGAAGAACCAAATTAGCCAGAGATCAGTTATTAAGATTAAAAGATCCAGGATCTGCCAAATCATCTTAGGCCCCGTTTACACTAATGCGTTTTAGTTTGAAAACGCATATGTTTTGCTACGGTTACGCCATCCGTCCACACTACGCCGGAGTTCTCGAGCGCCGAAAACGGAGCGTTTCGAAAACGCTGGAGAGGCCGTTTTCATTCTGAAACGCAGCTGCTCCGTCTCAGTGTGGATGATGGAAAACGGAGACATTTGAAAACGGAGGCGGGGCTGCAGACATTCGCCTCTCTGATTGGGGCTTTTCCTGAATATTAAGTAGCCTAACACGCACAGTTCAGTCCTGCATCTTCTCCGTGTAAGTTAAAACTTCGCAAGTTTGATCATGGCTGCAGTCTCTTCTTCTCAGTTTGATATGGAAAACAGACTATACCGAGGACACGGGTAAATCTTCAAAGGGAACAGTGTACTTTATAACTTCATTCACATCACCCTGGCTACGTTGTTTTACTTTCTCAACAATAAAATGTAAACATGATATAAGGAACTGCCTATTTTCATTTTAATATTATTAACTAAACAGACAGCAAAAATGTTGAGGCGCCGTGCTGCATATATGAGCGTCATCTTCACTGTGTGTATATTATAACAAAACGGAGCCGATAACAACTGCCTCCTTTCAATTTCAGTGAAAATACGAAACACACCCTCTCTTTGCTGAATATCAGTTTTAATCGATAATGGCCATTATAAAAGTATAACATACAATGTTTATACATTATAGGAAATAAAGGCAAGCGATCAGTCAATATACAGAATGTACGTGCTTACATTAATCATTAACTTATCTTTGCGCTTAGCCAAAACACGTTACCTGAGAACAAGTAATAGATTCCAATGTCCAATGAATATGTCGTTAAATAAAGACAACAAGATGAAAGAAATATTCCGTTTAATAAATATAGTGAGGTTAGATCCAGCGGGAGATGCTTGATGAGAAGTCCGACTAGCACAGCTCTCATCTGGGTAGATTGGCTACAGCGCTTGCCTGAGAGTGTGTGTGTGGTCACGTGATGTGCGTTTTCAGCGTTTTGGTGTGGACGGAGAGCAGTTCAGAAACGCTGGGTGAAACGCGAGTGTGGACGCGGATCGTTTTCATTCTAAAACGCCGTTTTAAAACTAAAACGCACTAGTGTAAACGGGGCCTTAGATCATTTAAGCAAGCTACGAAGAACAGACCCTAGGTCTGCGCATTTAGAGGAAAGGTATAAATGTTTTTTTTTTTTTTTTTTAGCAAAATTGTGATTTACTACTATTTTAAGAGCTATGATGAAGGTTTGATGAAGTAGTTTTAACAAAGCCAAAGAAATACCAAGCGTAATCATAAAGTATGCTACACTGTGCTACTGTTTATTTACAACTAGACCTGTCACAATAATCAATAGATCGACTTCTGTGTCCAAGAAATGGCACGTGATAGAAGAAATATTTTCCATACTAAAAGGAGTTTTTGTCCTAACCAACACCTGAAATTTCTATTTTACCAACGCCTTTCATTCCTCACTGCAAATCTTGTCATGTAGCGTGTTGTTAGGACAAGGGGTTACAATGTAACCTGCTCACCTAATGTGTACATTTGTAATATATATATTATTTCCTAATTATTAACAATCTCATGTGGAACTCTGAATCTGCATCTCATTTCGGAGGCTGCTACTGTCCACCAAAGGTTGCATTTCGGTTGCAGACACATGCTTTGAGACTCTTCATGACGGAATGAATCAAATACTGTGTTTTCCATGAAGCCAACTCGAGGTGGTGAAATATAATTGGCTAAACTGGCAGTGGGCGGGTTAAAGTGACAAAACAACAGACGTTCTGGCACGTAACGCACATTTTCAAAGCAGAATATCTGACTTCAGCATTGTTTTTCAGATAAACAAGAATACTCACTTTAAATATCTACAAACATATTACAAGATTTTTATACTTTAGAAGAGTCAAAAGCTAACATAAAGCACCTTTGATTGTGCAGGCATAACTAACCCTCTTTCACCTCCCTGTTTTTTGTTCCTTCTGAGCCTGAAACTGGGCTGCTTCTTCTTTCACTCACAAACACACACACACACAAACACTTCTGCATATGTTTGCCTATGAACGTCACGTCTGTAACTCATGTCCACTCACATCCAGTTACCCAGCATCTTCGGCTCCTTGCCTCCTTCACTGTCCGTCTTAACTGCTCATTGACACGTGACGCCTCACCCTGCTCCTCAATGTGACATCATATGCTGTTTTGGAAAAATGCAGCCAGACTAGGGTTGATAAGGTACAGTACATTAAGGAGATGCTTATCAGTGATATTCAGTTCTTTTTTCTGCCAATCAAATGTGAATGATCTTGTGAATGTTGAAGTTGGCTGTAATTCTGCGTCTTTCTGTTTGACGTGTGAATGATTCATTGATGTGTTTTTGTAGTCTTTTATTATAATCTAAAGTAAATTAAATTTTATTTCAGCTGATGCCACAAATTTGACTTTTTCAAGTTTCTCCTTGAGTCAATTGTGATTATAGAGACTTTTTCACTGATGAATCAATTCTCATTTTCTCTTTTAATGTAATATACAGTTGAAGACACAATAGTAAATTTTTAAATCTTTTTTCAAATATTATGTAATATAAGTGATTTTTTTTCCGCAATATTTCCTATTATATTTTTCTTCTGGAGAAAGTTTTTTTGTTGTTGTTTCTTTGATGGTAGGAATAAAAAAAATAATAAAAAAAACGAATTTAATAGGGAAGAGGTCAATATTATTAGCAACTAAGAGTGTTGCTAGGCACGGGCCCCCTCAAATCACACAACCCCCACCCCCAATTTTTTAAACCATTATAAAAGTTATACTACATAATACAAATGAATAAAATTATTATTATAAGCAGTATAAAAGTATTATATAATTATTATTCTAAATCAGTAACAGAAATCTAGACAAGGACAACTGGAGTGATACGCTTGGACAGGGCTATTCAATTGGTGACCCGCGGGCAGAACTTGGCCCACGAGGCAATTTGTTCCAGCCCTCTAAATAATGTGACCAAGACATCAAAAATAAATTTAGTTCAGTTGAAAAACGGCCGCTATAGTTAGGACGTGACATGCATCTGTTCAATACAGTACGAGCTGCAGAGGCTGCGCAGAGCGCGAGTCACCTGAGTGGCGCGAGCAGCCAAAAACATTTGGATACTTCAGCTTAAAGGCTTCTCAACACCGTGTTACTGTTGCACGGAACGAAACTGCTGCAACTAAACAGAGTTACGCCACCTGTGTTTTTGCTCGGAACTTTTTTTCCAAGTTTGTCATTTCCAATATTAGAATATATGCCAATATGCGTGCGCAAGCAGAGCGATGCGCTCGCGCCTTCCAGACGCACCATTTAGAAATCATCTCACGCCATAGCGGTAAGAGTTGTGCGTGGCTATCAGTGCAATGTAAACAAAAGATATGTTAGACAAATTATTATTAAAAAAGATTATGTATGTATGAACGCAGATGATAACAACCGTTCATTTAAATACTTATCTGATATAAAGCTTATATTTACATTAGACGTGATAACCGTGAAACCAGGATTATTCTTCAGATAATATAATCGTACAACCAAAATCTATATCCGTTGCATCCATAGTTGTTATGCAGTTCAAAACATAACATATGAATGTGTCTGAATGTAGAAGAAGCCTGCTTCAGCAATGCACTGCTTTTGTTTTACTTTGAAAAACAACATTTGAATGTTGTTAAAAAAGCCACATTGTACAATGCACTGATATTATGTAGTTTTAAAACACTACATATCAATGTTTTAATGTAGAAGAAGCCAACGTGGGTGTCTTGATGAGCAAAAATACAGCATATGGGCTCTTGTATGCTGCTGTGTCATCACTCATATTGCAAGTCAGCTATATTGCTCTTGTAAGCGTTGATTCGGCTTTACATAGAGAATAACGCCTTTATTCTGGGATTACCACTCTTAATAAATACACTTACAAATAAAGTAAACTGCAACTCAAAGCATATACTGTGGCACTGGTGATTTTTACTGGGCACCTGCCCCAGTAAATTGGGTCTAGCGACGCGTAAGCACCCTTAAGAATTTTCTTTTTTCTTTTTTAGCTTCAGTACAAACCAATGTTGTCCAGGGACTTGCTTATTTAACTTAATTGGCATAATTTGCGCTTAAAGCTGAATACTATAGTATCTGTACAAAAAACATTACGTACGATCATCCTAGCAAAGAAGCTAGAAATTAGTTATTAAAACTGTATTTAAAAAGTGTATGAAAAAAATGTATCTGTTAAACATCGAATAGAAAATATTTGAAAATGTTCCCAATATAATAGAAAGAAAATGAAAGAAAAATATAATCGGAATTAATAACTGCGTTAAAATGTAATAATTTTGTCTTCAACTGTGTGATTTATTTAGGTGTTGGGAGTCTGATAATGTTGTATTGTTGCAGGGACACGGCAGGTCAGGAGCGGTTTAACAGCATCACTTCAGCGTATTACCGCGGTGCCAAAGGCATTGTTTTGGTTTATGACATCACCAAGCAGGAAACTTTTGAAGACCTGCCTAAATGGATGAAGATGATAGACAAGGTGCTCAAACGTCAAAATCACAGATGCATTTGTTTATTGGGGTTCCCACGCTTCTTGAAAGTGCTTGAATTTCCGACATAGGTCCTTGAAAGTGCTTGAATTTAAAGTTACGGTGTTATATCAACAATTGTACTGTACTGCTTTTAAAAGTTTAACAAAAAACCAAGAAATTCTTAATTAAAGTCTTACATTTCAATCTTATGCAAGAACTGTGACAAATAATGCATTTAATCAATATTTTATTAACTGCATTTGAATATTCCCAGTATTGAATTAAACTAATTGTTTTAAAGTTCTTTGAGCATAAGCGGTCAACATTTGTGAAAATGACACATTCTAAACATCATTATTACTATAACATTTTAATGTAAATATTAAGTGTAATTGAAATGTTAAGTACAGAACTTTTATGGTGAAAATGTGTATTGAACATGCCACCATTTTTCTCTGAAAACATATTTCTAAAGGTGCTGTTGACTTGAAATTTTCGTATTCGGATCTTCGGATGTTGGTAACAACCAAAGAAATCCATATATGCAAAGAAAACAAATCTAATTAGAATACAAATGTAGTTATGCGTAATAAAATTAAATAATGCAGGGAAAAAGTATTGAACAGATGAAGAAAGGGAGGTGTATTCCGGCAGTGAAAGCCCAGACAGCAGCAGAAATCTCTTCCTCAGTGTCACCCCTAGTGTAATTAAATATCAGCTGCTTCTGGCCAACATCTACATTAGCAGGAGGATGAAACCATGGTGGACATTTCAGCAAGACAATGATCCAAAACACGGCCAAGGAAACTCTCAAATGCTTTCAGAGAAAGAATATCAAGTTGTAGAATGGCCCAGCCAATCACCTGACTCAAATCCAATAGAAAATACAAAATAAAGCTCAGTTTTGATAGACGAGACCAAGATTTTTAATTATCTTTTTGTAAGATTTTTACACTCTGTTGAAGTTTATAAAAAAAAAAACTCACACCTGAGCAATGCATGTGACTTCATTCTCCATATGAGAGGCGTCTTTAAGCTGCATCACCAAAAAAGCCTTTTATATAAAGTATAGGGGAATTACCAAACTACATCATAAATGACGTCATGGGTTCAACAGCGGCGGTTGCAAAAAAAGACCAGTTGCAATAGCAAACGTTTCGTGTTGTGCGGTAGAATGCCAAAATGGAAAGAAATAGAATAGAAATAGAAAGCTTACATTTTATTGTACACCACACTGGTTTTAATGCCAACCGTAGACATCTTAAACTAACAGCCATCAGAAGAGCTGAATAGAGTGAGGACCTAATTAATAATGCTCGACTCTGCAGTTCTCATTTCATATCAGGTAAGTTCACGCTATTAAATGGATTTAAATAATACAATTTAAATATGGTAACATTTAGGCAGTTAAATATGGTGAATTAAACTGCGGACACTGAATGCTTAGAATGAAATTTAAAAATCTAAGTTCACATACCATACTGAATAGGTGCAGTTTGCTGTCAGAATGCAGTAGTTTTGTTTGTTGATGATTACCCAGGCCTTGTACAGCTCCGTCTTCTTTTCTTGTCTTTGGCTTGGCAGAACCTAGGTTTTTAGCAATACAAAGTTTTGAATATGGTTATCATAGAGCATTAATCTTGCATATGACCACACAGAACAAACTTGTAGGTCTTTAACTTCTCTCTTGTTAAATCATTTGGAGTTTTAGTGAGATCATATATTTGAGACTGGATGCTTGGTCATTTCATCTTATCCAACATTCATTATGAGGGTGCTATCGCAAATGGACCTGTCAGACGAACACAGCTCACTTTAACGTTAATTTTGCCGAATAACTGTGCTCATCACTGGCTGACGAGCTTTTATAATACACTGAAAGCATTATGTAAGTAATATATGTAATATATAATCAATATAACTTCTTTACAACAACAAACTCTGTACTGCATCAGATGTCATTCCCTCACTGTAAATGCTAGCGCTCCAGGTTTTTTTCTGCAACCTCGCTGCGCATGCATCCTGAATGTTTACTGAATTCGTCTATTTGAATACATTTTAGTAGTTCAGTGCTTTCTCCTGGTGTCATTCCAGTGTTATTACACAGAACTCATTTTTCAGTTTTTTTGTTTTAATTTTATGTTAGTATTGTTTGGGTTTTTATCAAAATCTGCTTCAATTCCTTGTCAACAGCTCCTTTGGAAATATTATTCCCATGAAAAAAACATGACGTGTTCAATACTTATTTTCCTCGCTGTATGCTGGCGGTGTGAATTAAGGTGCTCGATTGTAAATTATTAGTCATTTAAAAGTCCTTGGATTTGGTGTCCATAAAAGAGTGGGAACCCTTTATGTACTTTTGCTCTTAGTGAACGGGTCTGACTGGCATGTTCTGTTTGTGCACAGTATGCATCAGAGGATGCCGAGCTCCTATTGGTTGGGAACAAACTGGACTGCGAGTCTGATCGCGCCATCTCACGGCAACAAGCTGAGAGGGTGAGAGAAATGTTATGTTAATATTGTTTTTAAACCTTAATAATCATTATTATTATTATTATTTTTTGTATTTTGGTCCCTCTTTATACTAGATGGCCTTAATTAATATGTACTTACATTAAAATGAATTATTCATTACAGTGTACTCAATGTGTAAATACAGGCTTTTACATTGCACTCATGTTTGATTAAACACATGCATGCAATTCATTTCTGTAACTACATTTGTAATTCCACTGTTGACCATCCATTACACCTTAACCCACCCTTAAACCCACCCATATCACCAAACACTAATGTGTTCTACAATACATTATGAACACATTAAGTACATTGTATTTATTACATTGTATTTTTGATGCAAGTTCATAGTAGTTAAGGCCACCTAATATAAAGTGGGACCTGTTTTTTTTTTTTATTTAATATTTTTGTGCTTTTTCATTATTGTGTTTATTACATTTTAATATTGATTGGTAAATTTATGATAGCCAATAAAATAAATAACAACACTAATTTGATCAATGATTAATCATAAACATCCATTGTTTCTTTCCTCTGTTAAAACACAATAGTTTTAATAACTAATTTCTTATGAATCATTTTATTTGTCTTTGTCATGGTGATGGTACATAATATTTTACGTTATTCTGCAAGTGACATTTAAAGGCTTAATTAAGTTAATTAGGTTAACTAAGCACATAAAATATACATTACATATGTTTAGATTAAATTAGATTAGATTAGATTCAACTTTATTGTCATTACACATGTACAAGTACAATGCAACAGAATGCAGTTTAGGTCTAACCAGCAGTGCAATAGCAGCAAGTGCAGGATACAGGAATAAGTTATAAAGTGCAGTTATAGAAAACTATGGTGATATTTACAGATGGATGTACTATGACCATTATATACAGGTTGGATAAGCTATGAACAGATTTACAATATATGAATATATGTGCAGGTGCTATTTAATAATTAGTAGTGTGCAGATAGATAAACATGATTACAAGTGTATATGTTACAATATATGAATATATGTATAGTGATAGATAAACATGATTACAAGTGTATATGTTACAATATATGAATATATGTACAGGTTGCTATTAATAATCAGTAGTATGCAGATAAATAACCATGATTACAAGTGTATATGTATAGTGGGTGTGTACATAATTACAAACGCCCATATGCAGTGGGTATGTACAGTTCAATAAGTAAACCGTTCAATGTGGTGCAGTGAATGTGCAAATGTTAGACAGTGCAGTTATTGCGAGGAGTTTAAGTTAGAGGAGAGTGGGGGGTGTATTGGGGGGGCTCTGGGGAAAAAGCTCATTTTAACATTTCAAAATGAAATTTGCTCTTGTTATGACATCTTCTTTAGACATCTAATATTTGTATTTGATTTAACTGTATATTTATCACAGTTACAGTGCATTTTAGTTTGTGAGCCTACTTATTTCAGCTTTTCCAGTAATGACAACAATGGGAGACCCCAACAGGACAGCAAAAGCTCCTGAATAATGGCTTTATGCCTTTTTCTTACACTGTACAAAAGTCTTGCTTCCTTAATTTTTTTAGTTGAATCAAATGAACACGGGCTCATTGTGAAAACGTACCCCCTTATACATTTCTGGAGAGCGCGAATTATGTAACCAGAACTACGTATCGCTGCATTTTGTCTTTAAAACGAACGCTACGGGGCGGTATGACGCCCACCAGCTGACTGCTTACCTCCATGTGGCCGGCTTTTCTGGTATTACCAGTTTGCTCAGTAGCTTGCTGCATATGTCGGCGGACTTGAGACGCAGAGAGGAGTTGACCACGATGACAGGGTTCGAGTCTGTTGAAGAACGGTTCCAGAAATCAGTTAAAACAAAATCAAAAGGCAAAAAATAAAATAAGTAGGTAACACGTCTAAAAACGTGGTAAATGTCTTGTGTCCGCAAGGGCTTTTCTTTTTCTGGAATGCTTTGAAAAAACGTATATGGAAAGGGGTGGGTTGTGGATCGCTCAGTCAGTCTGTCAATGGTCTCTGTTGGATTGACTCAAGAAGAGCATTTGCACATGGCACTCGCAAGAGAAATTTAAAATCTAAAAAAGCCTACACAGCGGCCTCTGGTCAATTCACGAAAACAAAAACTGCAAAAAATACCTCCTGGGACATATTTTGCGATCTCCAGAAATGTATATAGGGGTACGTATCAATAATGAGTCTGGGTTGGAACTTTTCTAGTCCTCTCAACTTACATCAATCAAACTGACTAAAAATACTAATTAAGTTAAGCTTTGTACAACTTAAAATATTAGCGACACAAAGGCGTTTTCCGCTTTGTGTAAATATTCGTTTATTATTATAGCATAGTCTGAACGTAGATATTTAAAATCATCTGTATTACCTTGACATTTAGTTTAGTGGAGGACGATGCTGGAGAACAACTCATTGTCTTTCTGCCTGTCCAAAGTCGTGGACACAGAGACATCATTATCCCCAGAGCTTTACATAGAGATTTCTCGAATACTCTGAATAATAACTCCACCAACCTTTCCAAACCCACTGAGCGTAAAAACTAACTGTACTAGAGTAAAGTTCGCCAAAACATTGTTATTTACTCCATCCAGTGTCATTGTGAAGTATCATAAAAGCAGTTTGTTTCTTCTGAAGTTTGCAATAGCTTGGTGTGTTTTCATTTGATGGAGAAAAAGCATTGCATTGCCTTAGAAAATTAACAAATATGTTTCCAGTGTTTTGATATTTAATCCAATAATCAGCATTTTCAGAGGGAATTAAATTATTTCTTTCTCCTCTCCGTTGTTTGGCAGTTTGCTTCACGGATATCAGGGATGCGTTTCTGTGAGGCCAGTGCCAAGGATAACTTTAACGTGGATGAGATCTTCCTTAAACTAGTTGATGACATCTTGAGTAAGGTAAGTGCATGTTTTGATGAACTCTTCGCTCATTACAATGTTCAGTCTGAGTGCCTGAGAATGTTGCATCATGACTTTTTCTAGCCCAGATCCTAATATCATGAGCTTTAAGAGTTTTTAGGATGTGACTGATCTGAAGTCAGATCCACTTTGCAGTTAATCAAAACCAAGAAACACCCGCTTAGATTGGAAGGAAGTGTCTAGCCTGCATGTGAAGTGACCGGCTACAGTTTTTTTTTTTTTTTTTTACAAGACATATGGAGTTTAAAACTGGTAAGATATGTGAATGCTAGTTGTTTAAAAATGGGAGGCATGATGTAGAGGTGTGAACCTATACTGGTCTCACGGTTCGGTTCGGTTACGATTATCATGCCTTCGATTCGGTTCAATTCGATATCTCGGTGCATCACGGTGCATTGACGATGCTTTCCATATACAGTGTTATATTTTAGGGGGAGACTATAACAAGCTGCCTGTATAAACACACAGACACACAGCACCACACTGTCTCTCATTCAAACACATACACAAACATAGACAGCACCAAACAAACACACACACACACCAACACACACTTAAAGGGCCATGAAACCCCCTCGTTTCAGCAGGGTGTTTTCACACCTCTTCTTTGGAAAAAGTCAGAAAAGTGGGCGTGTCCAGCTCTGTTTAGGGGGGAGTGTCGGAGGAACTAAAGTGGGAGGGTGTGGGAGTGTCGATTTGGGCACGCGCGAGTTTCAGAGTCAAAATACACACACACACACACACACACACATACATACAGGAGAATGTGATGGTGTTTAACCTACATGGACATCTGTAGTCGAATTATTTGCCAAATTATTAAATGGTGGACTTTAACTGCAGTTTGGCTCTTTCATTCAGGGAATTCATTCATGCCCCTCACGACAAACGAGATATTTGATTCGAGGAGCTGCTCTAAGCGTGTATTTTTCATGCAATGTTTTATACCGCACGGCGAAAGAGAGAAAAAAAACCCACTGCATTTCCCAGAAACTTAGATGCACACGACAGGTAGAGTCAGAAAGCCGCGTGTTATTCCGGTCACAAAATGCGGTAAAAACCCTACACGAGGTTAAAGTTTGGTTGTGGTGCTAACGTGTTTACACTCTGTGCAATAGTTTGTTAGATACGAACAAACTGAATAAACAAAGAGCACTGGTCGCTCACTTACCAAATCTGTAGAGACAGGACAATCACCAGCAACTAGAGCCGCGTCTTTATGAAGAAAATACTACAAACGAATCCAGATCTCAGCGTTTGCAGATAAGTACAGCTCTCAGGTAAACAATAATCCTCCTTAGACACGTAAGTTATTGTTGTCGCGCGTCGCGTACACTGTAATCCACACGTGAGTCTGAGCTCTCACAGAGAGAAAATGAAAACGAAACTTAACTGCAGCAAACTATAAAAGCAACACTTCACGCTTGTTTTGCCAACACAACGTGGCGTCTCTGTCCTGAAAACACGGTGATAGTAATGAATATTAATGAAGTTGCACAATAGAGTGCGCTGATTGGTTTGACCCAAGCCTTACTCATGCATTAATGCAGCACACTGTAAGACGTAATAAGACACACTCTGGCACAGACGTTCAGTCTGCACGCTGGAATACACGCTATTATCTCATGACCGTGACGCAGCTTCAAAAATTCGTTTCAAACAGGAAGTACGAATTTGCTTAAAATAATGCAAAAACAACCAATTTACACTTTTTAGTGAAATATAGGTGTCCTAATAGTGTTTTTAGCAGTGTGGGACACATATACGACTGTCAACAGCTCAAAAAATGTGTTTTGGTGTTTCGTGACCCTTTAAGCCGTCAGTCAGTACGTCAGTACATAATAACCGGTTATGATTATTACTGAACCGATACCGAATTGTCCGCGTCTGCATCGCGGTGCACCGAAGAAACAATTAATTTTGACACCCCTGCACGGTGGCTCAGTGGTTAGCACTGTGGCCTCACAGCGAGAAGGTTGCTGGTTTGAGTCCCGGCTGGTTTGCATGCTCTCCCCGTGTTGGCGTGGGTTTCCTCCCGGTGCTCCAGTTTCCCACACAGTCCAAACACATGCGCTATAGGTGAATTGGAGAAACTAAATTAGCCGCAGTATATGAGCGTGTGTGTGAATGTGAGAGTGTATATTGGTGTTTCCCAGTGGTGGGTTGCGGCTGGAAGGTTGTCTGCTGCGTAAAACATATGCCAGAATAGTTGCCGGTTCATTTTACTGTAGCGACCCCTGATAAATAAGGGACTAAAGGCTTATTTATACTTCTGCGTCAAGCACACATGTATGGTCCAAAAAATGTAACCACACATCGCAATGACGCGCAGCGCAAACTCTGTGATTGGTCGGCTTAGTAGCACTGACAGGTGTGGTAGGGGTTGAGAGCTGTGCGAACCAGTTGGAGCGAGTGTTTACAAGTGTCGAGTCTTGTGAAAGAACTTTGGTTTGTGTTTACCTTATAGACTGATTTCACGCGGCCGCCATTTTCAAAAGCGAAATCGAGGCTGCGGTGGGAAGAAACCCGGAAGTATCATTGGGAGTTACACAGGAATATTGTGTAACTCGCTATATATCTTATCAGCGAAAATAAAGTTTCATTTATCATTTCTCCGCCTTCCGGGTGACTCGAAGGTCCGTTCTAAATGAATGGTGAATGTAAAAAGGGATATCAGAGCTCATTTTCAGCTAAGTTAATGGAAATGGCACTAGTTAGCTTATGTTTTCTTTCCCAAACACACGTTTTAGATGCCATTTATCAAACTCGAATTAATAAATTGATTCTTTCACTATATTAGACTTGTCACGATACTGAATTAAAAGAAAAACCGGCAATTTCGCGCTAACTTTTAAGGCAACGTTGATGGCTTTTTTTAAACAGCGCTGATTTGCCATTGTGGTCACGTGCTCAACAGAAATGCTTGTGATTGGTCGAGAAGGTCATCAGTTCACCCACCGCTGTATACTGAGCACAAACACAGACGAGCCGAGCGATCTGCTTGATGACTCGACTGATCTTGACGGCTGCTTCACGCTCCAGTCCGTGTGTCTGTGTTTGCACTGGGTGAAGAGCGGTAAACTGAGCGCAAACCAAACACAGATACACGGAGACTGAAGCGCGAAGCCGTGAAGATCAGTCGAGTCATCTGCGCTCAGCAGCGCTTCCATGTTAGCGGGAAACAGCCGGGTTTAAAACTTCAGTACTGGGACAACACTATTAAAGACAACACGAGGGTGTGCTGCAGAGGACTGCAGTGTTATCACTCACCGGTTCACATAGGCTGAAGCAGGAAAGCGTCCTCACGGTGTTTAACTAGTGCCATGAGCTGAAGCCTAGGAGGACACTTAAGCGTATCACTGAGATTGTGATCTTGTTTGATGCTAAATTGCTTTTAATCGTTTAAAATAAACTTACTAAATAATATTTAAGTGATGGTTACACCATTTCTGCATTTTGAAATCGCGGCAACAGCTGGAGGTTTATAGTACACAGCATATTACTGCAATGTTTACAGTGCTGGACCTATACTTCCGGGTTTCTTCCCACCGCAGCCTCGCTTTGGTTCTTTAAAATGGCGGCCGCATGAAATAAACGTATGATTGTAGTTGCTGCACGTCCGCCAGTTTCCGCTTCTGAATGAGCGAGTTTGAATGAGCTACTTGTACATTTAAGGTAGCATTCAGAAAAAAAACAAAACACCCGACACCAAGGAACATAAAAACCTCACTGCCACCTAGCGTTTTGGAAGTGTTATTGCAGAGCAACATAAACAGCATGCAGAAGTATAAATGCACGTTAACGTGCAAGGCATGCGCCGTGGGTCATGCCAATCACCCGATGCAGAAGTATAAACTAGCCTTAAGCTAAAGAAAAATGGATGAATGTTTAAAAAAGAAAATGCTCAGAAAAATGTAATAATTTAGTTTTATTTCTCATAATTGTGATTTTCCTGACAAAAAATTGTGATTATGAATTAATGCATTTTGAACGAAACTAAATAATTCTTGTGCTTGTGTTTGAGGCTGCACGATATGTCCAAGCATTGTGAATAATCGAGTAGAATGTTGAATAAATATGAAATTAATAATATATTAAACTGACAGGCAAATAATGCAGGGATAAAACTATGAAAATGACGATACTAAATTAATAAAAAATAATACAATTTAACTTACAAGTATAACAGCTGGTAAGAAAAATAATGCAAATATAATTTTCACAAGTAGCATGCTACATACTCTGAAAATTTGTTATATTTTATATCTGAAAGCTTTTTAATATTTATTTTTTATTAATATTTCCTTAGTGTGTTCTACTAACATTTCCATGATATCTTCTACAATTTTGTATATATATTTATTGATGTTGGTTGTTATTATTATTGTTATTGATATTATTATTGATGTAATTATAGTTATTAATTATGTTTAATTTATGGCTTTAAATCATTGTGTGGAAAATATTTTATGTATAGAATTACTTTTCATTTGGGCATGTGATGCTATTAGATTTTCATATAAAAATTGCAAGTCCATTTTTTTATCCTTTATTTATTTTTTTATCCTTTACTTATAACTATTAACAACATAATTTTTGAAGATTAACTATATAGAACAAAAGGTACTGTAAAACTTACATCAATATCCCATTAGTTAACAGCAACTAACTAACATTAACAATTGCAAATGTGATCCAAGTCATATGCTTATTTGAATTAATTGTTCATCCCGCATCTCATGTGCATCTGAAACTCATCTTATAATCTTACAACCTGTTATTTCTCCACAGATGCCACTTGAAGTCCCCAGTAAGGAGCTTTCCAACAGTGTTTTGTCTCTTCAACCCGAGCCTGAAATCCCACCAGAGCTGCCTCCGCCACGCATGCGCTGCTGTTGAGACTCGCTTCATGATTTATTATTTTATACACATGCAGTTACAGACTCCCACCACCAGGGGCTCGAGACTGCAGCCCATGATGAAATCTAGGGAAAAAAAACAACTCTCAGTATTGCATAGAATCATCGCACAAATGATCAACTCTACAGTCTAACATCATACATATTTTGGTACTTTTAGAGGCCAATAAAGGACATCCGTATCTTCACACACGCATTTATTTTTTGATGGTCCATTCACTCTACCTCATTAATGGAAAACACAAGACTGCGCTGGTCTAAAATGTTCCTGTCAGATAGCAATGCATTTACACCGCAAGCAGGTTAATCAGTATTTACTGCTGAAGGTAAAATTATTTGCTGATCTTCGAGATTTTAAATTGTTTTTCAAATATTTCCCAAATTATTTGAAACAGAGAAAATTTGGTCTTTTTTTCCATTTGGATAGTCCACTGTCACTTCGAGTCCCAGCTCTACCAGTTGGCATTTCTGTGTGGAGTTTGCATGTTCTATTCATGGTAGGGTTTCCTCCGGGTGCTCCGGTTTTACCCACAATCCAAACACATGCAATACAGGGAAATTGGATTAACTAAATTGGCCGTAGTGTATAAGTTTAAGTGTGAAAGTGAGAGAGTATCGGTGTTTCCCAGTACTGGGTTGCAGGTGGAAGAGCATCCACTGTGTAAAACATATCCTGGAATAGTTGGTGGTTCATTCCGCTGTGGCGACTTCTGAAATAGAGACTAATGCTGTGTTCACACCAGACGCGGAACGCGCGTCAAGTGCGAGTGATTTACATGTTAAGTCAATGCAAACGTGCGAATAGACATCCTGCGGTGCGAATGCCGCGGCGTGAATTACGCGAATGACGCTGTGCGAATGGCGCGATACACGGTAATGGCGTGGCGCGAATTGAGTGTTTTGCGCGTTTGACGCGGTTAACGCGCGTTTCGCGCAAATCACTCGAGTTCGAAAATCTGAACTTCAGCGGACATTCGCGCCAAGTTAACCAATCAGAAGCTTGCTCTTGTGGGGGTGTGATTGTGACGTAAAACCTGTTGATTGTGTCTCGAGGGAAATCTTCGAGCTGACACCAACAGCAAGTCATCAAACTGGGCTTGGGTCAGTCAGAAGCACCGCTGAAAGCCTCCGTGATCCAGGTTCAGTTTCTGGAGGAGTTTATGAGCTCACAGAGCTGGATGCTCCTCTGAAAGCATGTAGTTAACTCAGACACGGTCCTAAATGTATCGACGCTGTTTGTCAGCCTTCATAAAGTACATAAACACTGTTATTTTCTTCATAAAATCCATGTTAGCCTTTTAGCAACGAAGCTACAGTCACCGGACAGACAGAAGCTCTGCCCATCACGCGAATCCTCGTCTGTTCTGAATTGAATTTGACTCGCGAATGAAGCGGATTTGACGCGCAAATGAAGCGAGTAACCTCAAATGTTTCACGCGGCAATTTACGCGCCAAATAGCGCAATTTATCCGCGCGTTCCGCGTCTGGTGTGGACACAGCATAAGTCGAAGAAAAATAAATAAATGAGAACCAGTTTTTAATCAAAAAGTAATTATATATTATGGTCAATATTATTAGCCCCCTTAAGAATATATATATATATATATATATATATATATATATATATATGATATATATATATATATATATATGATTGGCTACAGTACAAACTACTGTTGTCCAATGACTTGCTTATTTATCCTAACTTGCCTAGTTAACATATGCCTTTAAATGGCAAGAAAGTGGTTATTATAAATTATTACAATTATTGTTGAAAAATGTGCTCCAATTGAAAAATATTTGAAAAATACAATTTTCACTGGAGGGCTAATAACCGTGTCTTCAACTGTGTATGTGCTCAATTAAACATTAGTTGCTGCCTTTGATTTTTAAGTTAACCTTACTTAAATTAAATGTCATTTTAAAATATTATATTATAACTTAATTTAATGGTTAACTAGTTTTAAAGTTACAATAACATTTTCTGCAGAAAATGCAAATTAGACTTGCAAAACAATAATATTGCATAAAATATTATACAATACTGTATCTAAAATTAATTTAAATACAGTAATTAAATACGATTCTGTAGCTCCTGGTCAGCTTTAATTCAGACGCTACATTCCATATCTTGCGATGTGACTATCCGCTTGTTTAGTTTGACGTCATGCGAAGTGGCTTTGCAGGTCCAAGCCAGGCACGTGCACACATAGGGCTCAACCTGTGCAGTGCACATGCCCTTTTTAGTCTTGGATAGAAAGTGCCTTTCCAAAATGATCAAAAGTGCCCCCGTGACATCCCCCCCTCCCCCCTACCGCCGCTTTTGACATTACACGCGCGACAACACCGCTCTTCGATACACGCGCGACAACAACTACTCCAACCCTCCACTTTTATCCTGCACTTTCCCTTTGGACAGTCTCTGCACGGGCCTGGTCCAAGCACTTTATCAAACTGTATTGGGAGACTCAACAAATGATAATTTTAAACGCTTACAAAGTGATGTAATACTTTCGAAAATCACAATCGCAATAAATATATCCATGCCTAATATACGATGGCCAGTAAGTGATAAATTTTCTAGAAATTGTTGCAGCAAGTCCAGTGACCCTTGTTTACCTCGTGATTTTATATAGAATTCACTTTAATGTGTGATATGACTAAAAAGTGGTCATATACGAATATTTTCTCAATTCAAAAGAGTAGCGGCTTGGACCCGCTAACAGTATTTTATACATCACAACTTAACAAGCAGATTGCAGATATGCACATTGCGATATCGATGCTGAGACGATATATAGTGCAGCCATAATAAAAACATAGCTAATGATTTGTAAAGTTAATTTGAATCAAATTTAAAAATTGAAGGCAGCAACTACTTTTTTTTTTTTTTTACAGCTTACACCTTTCTTTGATCATAAACTACCTGACAAAAGTCTTGTCATTGATTCCAGTTGTAAGAGCAACAAATGATAACTTGACTTCAGGCAAAGAAGGTCAAGATGCTCCAGGATTGGCCAGCCCAGTCACCAGTAATGAACATTATTGAGCATGTCTGGGGTAAGATGAAGGAGGCATTGAAGATGAACACAAAGAGTCTTGATGAATCTTGAAAAACACTTTCTTTGCCATTCCAGATGACTTTATTAATAAGTTATCTGAGTCATTGCAGAGATGTATGGATGCAGTCCTCCAAGCTCATGATGGAGTCAGACACAATATTCATTCTGTCTCCACTGCAGCAGGACTTTATATTCTATACTGGACATTATTTCTGTTCAGTGACAAGACTTTAGTCTTAAGCTATATCTAACCTTACTGTCCTAATGAAATCATTCAAAATCAAGACATGATCATATTTTATTGTGGTAAAATAAGCGTAATCTAGAGGCCTTTGCCTTTCATATGAGCCACTTCTGATACCAAATGATCAACAAGAAGTCGTTATTATTTGTTGCTCCTAAAACTTGGATATGCGACTTTTGTCAGGTAGTGTATATGTCGATCACCTTTCTTTCACGTCTCTTTAAGGATTCAAGTTTTTGTAAATTTTCCTCTTAGGATTTTAGTCCCGATCTTAAATCACGAAGCTCTTTTACAAATTGATTTGGCCTTAAAAGTGAAGTGGATGTGCATTTTCTGCCAAGTTCGATTCATTTCTTTTAAGTCTGTGGTTTGTTAGCGTGGTTGGGTCGTCAGACTGATCATATCTCTATGCCTTACGTTCTGTCAGTGTTACAGTTTTTAATTTTATTTTGAGGTGGGATTTTAATGTTATTCATCGTGTTTTGCACTACAATCCATTCGTCGCTAGTTTACGAACAGCTGAAATGCTAGTGAAGGACCTGTGTACAGTCATCATTTGACTACGCTAATTTGAAGTTTTGTTGTTTAGTAGTCTTTTAACTCGAGTAGAATAAAAGAGGCACATTAATCTGGTTTTATTTGTGCCGGATCAGTATTGAAAGACTGAAATGCTCTCTCTGAAAGGGCTGTTTCTATACAGAGAGCTGATTGTGGATAAAAGAGGATGTTTTAGAGGATGGTTTTGATATTTACTAATACTCACTGTGCCTCTGTGTTGATTCAGCTCTACTGGATTTACGTTGAGTTGAATTATTCGCCAGTGTTTGAAGGACTAGTGATGGGATAGTTGTGTATTATAGCACCAGATATGCAGTAGCAACAGGCTTTTGTGTGAGTTTATAGGAATATTAGGCATTTTTATAAAAGTTGTTCTTGAATTCAGAGGTGTTACTGTGCATCTGGAACGCTTCTTGTTGGGTGAGCGTCACGAAATCATGTCAGGGTTGTATTTCACTTGAAAAAATATTTGTACCTTTTTTATGATATAGTTCACCCAAAAATGAAAAAAAAAAACACACACACAGGAAGATATTTTGAAGAATGTTAGAAACCTGTAACTATTGATATCCATAGAAAAAGCAAATACGATTGAAGTCGGTGGTTTTCAAGACTTTATAACATATCTTCATTTAATTAAGGACAGAACAACAGATTGTACCTTCAGTTGAGTTTAGTTTTTTCTTAAATATTTATATACTACATACCTGTAGTCGTTATACTATTCCTGGTGCAAATGTGGTAACAGTTTATCAATATAATATTATAATCCTCATCATGTTTCATTTACATTATTATATCATATTGCATTTAATTACTTCATTACTTCATGATTATTTTATTATGTTATGTTATGCGTTTCATATAATTGCATATATATATATATATATATATATATATATATATATATATATATATATATATATATATATATATATATATATATATATATATATATATATATATATATAGTAGATATATAGATATATAGTGATAGAGAGATATTAAGAAATATATATATATATATATATATATATATATATATATATATATATATATATATATATATATATATATATATATATATATATAAAATAATATATAAATATACACATATATACATGGATTACATTTTTAAACTTTAAGTGAAACAGAACTTTTAAGATTTGGAATAAAAAGTTTTGTATGGCTTATATGATGCCCCTAATTTATTCACTGACACATTGCCTTTTGTTATAAAGTATTCAATGTACACTGCATATATTTTCAATGTAGTAAGTTCCAGGCTAGCCAGAAAATGCATTTTACAGTAACCTACACTGTT